GGCCCGTAAGTTACCCGTGAGAAATCAGATCAAATCTAAGGCAAACGAGATGAGGGACCACGGATTATAAATACGGTTAATCAGCCAGACAATAAATAAAAGTCGTCGCTCATATAGAGCCCTTAGTATGACCCTTGTGATCGACTGATAATAGGTTGGGGCAGGACCCAGGCTCTGAGGTTTCGTGATATGCCTACCTACGGCATGTAACACGCAGAACGTGTGCGTCCAGGAAGGATAGTCAGGATGAGGCTGGAGACCCTGACTATAAATAGAAAGGCTTCATAGAGACCGTTTAAATTGCATCTACAACGTTCTTACGTGTTTACGTGTTCTACAAGGCACCCAGTACGCGAGCGAGCTTTGCTGAAATTATTTGGCAAACTCTTCGAATGTAACTTGCCTTCTTATTCATCCGCGCCTGGGTAGACTGTGAATTAAGTTGGTTGTCAGCTTTTCATTTCGGATGCTTCATTTGTTCCCTGCAGAGTTGTTTCAGCTACGCGGGAGGGAAACAAACTTACTGGGTGTTCTTATTAGGGAATAAGGGAATATAATACTTATAAAATCCATAAAAAAATCCGTTGTTTCGTACTAGCCCCAGTACGGTCAGCTGTTTTAAGCGATTGCCAGATTAGACAGCTCATCGTCCTTCAACTATTGCTGTGCGTCTGCCCATCCTGAAGCTGGGCACTCATCAACATTACAATCCCTTAGCCTTAGCCTAAACCCTAAAACCCTTATCTGCCCAGACAATTCGTGCCACTAAAGCTCTAACCACCCGGTGTAGGGTGAGTGTAAATAGCAGCCGTTGGCAGATTCCAGGTCATTCTCCCCCACTTAAGGCCCCAAGCACCCAACATAATAAACCCCCAATCTTCAGGGATTCGGGCCACACCTGTGCAGCCCCAAAGCAGAGCCAGAAATACGGTGGTTCTACTCTTCTTCTTTTTTGGCATCACCAGTATGCTAGCAGGGTTGGGATTCGCGAAGCAGATTCAGCTGTAGGGCCTTGTTAATGGCTATGTCAGCAGCTTCCAACCAACCTACCTCCCCATGCAATACCTTATGCGTTCAACTAGTACCCCCCTCTATATTACTCCCCCNNCCTAATTATCCCTAAATAATTCTAATTAAGGGGGAACCTAAGGAAAGTGGTATAGAGGGGGGTAGTAGTTGGACCCATAGATACCATCTTGCAGGTGCTAGCTTTCTGTGGGGATCATCCACTTCGCAGAAACCATGGGCGCGCCTCTTCGACACTTTGGGTCTGGAGGTTGCCATGCGGTCCCCCCCTACATACCGCGAATGCTTCATGTTCATAGGGACTTCCCTATTTTTCGATAATCTCCACTCGATTTCCCCAGAACCCGTCACATTCAGCTTGTTCTCTTGTGCTCCTCCAGCTGCTGTTGGCCGTAGCTGTATGTACAATTGTGGAGATGCATCTGATGTAGCAACTACTCCGGCTATTCCTGGCGTCTAGAGGGCTCATTAGCATCTTCAACAACTGATCCTTCAAGCAAAGCTTCATCAAGCTGACCACTGCCACTGAGCAGCTAGCCCGAGGCCCGAAGGCTACTGTAGAGGCCGGGGCACGCAGGTTCTGCCATGGAAGATAGATTCATGGCAGAATATTTCTATTTCGCCCGGGCTTTATCTACGGGCAACACTACCGCGTGTGCAAAGCCGCAGATGCCTAAACCTGGATATTTCGATTCTAAAGCTCATAAGCTTACCAGTAACACCCTTCACAGCTGCAAACCCCTGAGCCACCGAACGTCAAAATCTGATGCAGCTGAGGCCAGGAATTGCCTTGCAGACGTCTTCTTTTTTTCTATGAGGCCTGCGAGCGAGCGTGCTAACACAATTGCCCCTTTGAGCGGATTCCATAAAACGATGGGGAATATATTGATATTTATGCGTATACGATTAGGGAAAGGATCCAGAGATTTGAACCAACTCGATTCCTATATCGCATCTGGAGAAGAACGTCTTTCAAAAAATAAATATTAGAACAAGATTCTAAATAACGGACGAGAAAATCTGGGGAGAAAAAGAATTATAAATATAATGAAACATTTCCCAGGAAACACGTCCATCATATCAAAACATATAATATCAAAATTTAGCAATGATAGAATATCAAATTCGAAAATCCTAATTGGTCGAATTCAAATACTTAATTAGATGAAAAGATTCATCTTCATAAAAAAAAAATATATATATAATTATTTTCAATTGAAAGATAATTATCATATGAAATATGCGAATATATAAATTATATCTTTGAATCTTAGATTTTTTTTGATAAAATTCGAATTTTGAAATGAAGATTTAGATTTTTGATTTGATATATTTCTTTTATGAAATTAAAGATATCTGAAAATGGGGATAAGATAGAATAGATTTTAATGATATTCTAATCATTTTTTCGAGCTTTGAAATATTATACGTATTCATAGATTTTTTTTCTTATCTTTTATTCGATATCTTATTAATTTTCTCAAAAATATGATATTTTAGAAAAAGATATATTTCAGGAAGGTCTATAAATCCCGATATCTTTATATGAACGATTTAATAGAAATATTTCTGAGGGGCGAGATGTCGAAAACAAAATATAGCTCAATATTACGACGCGACTACTTACGAATATTTCGATTGCGCGCGGACTAGCCTCTCCGATCTCCTCTGAAATGCCTCGTATGGATTTTCTAGAAATTCAAAAATTTCGGAAAACTTAGAATTTTTCCAGAAATGCTAGAAATTCAGATTCTTGATGCGGGCGATGCGATTAAAAATCTCGGAGATTTTTGGTCGTGCGGTCCTTCGCCCCAGAACGATTTTCCACGTGATTTATTTATCTCTTCGGAATATGTAGACCCGGGATAATTACGTTTATGATGCGCTCTCCTATATATTTCTCCGAGCCGGCGCGTAATAACTAATCTAAGCGAGATAGAGATAGGCCTCGTTATTATGCGCACCCCGTAATAATTAGCCCAAGAGAGATATATGGGAGCGGGTCAAAACCAAAGATTTGGAATAAGGCCGGGGCCCGCATACGCGACATACCCCGTTACAAGGGG